GTCCAGCATGTGGGACCCCAGATTCTGTGTAATTTGATAGCTTGGCACCACCTTGCTTATTTTTAAGGAGTATTCTTGCTGTATTTCTTCTAACAACAAATAGTTTATTTCCTACTTAATTTGTTCATGGTACTTTCAATATTCTTCACCAGCATCATAATTCAAATGCATTGATTCTTCTTTAGTCTTGCTTTTCAACACTTTAAGGAAGTCTGATGTGATACATTTATCCAATATAATGTATCCTTTAATCTCTTGATTTCTGCTTCAATGATTGTTGATCCCAAGCAAGATGAAATTCTTGACAACCTCAATTTTTTAAATTCATTTCTCATGATGTTAACTATTGGTCTAGTTGTGAGGATATTGGTTTTCTTTACTGAAGGCTGCAATCCTTGATCTTCATCATCAAGTGCTTCAAATCCTCCTCACATTCAGCAAGGAAGGTTATATCATGTGAATATCGAAATTTTTAAATAAGCTTTCCGCCCATTCTTCTTCATATAATCAAGTGACTGTGATAATTTGCTCAGCATAGACTAAATAAATACAGTGAGGGGATGCAACTTTGACCCATACCTTTCTTGACATCAAACCATGCAACATTCTTTTGTTCAGTTCACACAACTACCTCATGATCCACTTGTAGATTCTACATGAGCACAATTAAGTGTTCTGGAATTCCCATTCTTCTCAAGGCAATCCAGAGTTTGTTATAGTTTACCCAGTCAAATGCAAGGCCTTGGCACAGTCAATAACACACAAGTAAACATTGTTCTGTAGTCTCTTAGATCCAGTTGACATCAGCAATGTCACCTTGTTCCATGTCCTCTTCTGAATCCAACATGAACTTCTGACAGCTCCTGGACAATGTATTACTGCAACTATTGTTGGATGATCTTCAGCAAAATTTTACTTGCATATGACATTAATATTTTTCTATAATTTGAACATTCTGCTGAGTCACCTTTTTTTGGAAGGAGTATATATATGGATCTCTTCTAGCCAGTTGGCCAGGTAACTGTCTTTCATATTTCTTGGAATAGATAAGTGAGTGCTTCTAGTGCTTCATAGCTTGTTGAAACATTTCAACTGGTATTCCATCAATTCATGGTGCCTTGTTTTGGCTAGTGTCTTAGGTGCAGCCTGGACATCTTCCTTCAGTATCACTAATTCTTGCTCATATGTTGCTTTATGAAATGGTTCAATGTTGTCTAGATCCTTTTGTTACACTGGCTCTTTTATTCTTTCCATCATCTTTTGATCCTTTCTGCATATTTCAAAATCTTGCTCAAAGAATCTTTAAATATTGCAACTCAGGGCTTTAATGAAAAAATTAAATTTTCTTGAATTCGTTCAGTTTAAGATATGCTAACAGTATTCTTCATTTTGGTTTCTAACTCTAGAGTTTTGTACTAGAGCCAGAGTGCTATGAATATAGATAATTATTACATGCTTTTACATTCACAAACATCAAAAGGAATTAATTTATTTGTTCTACACTTTCAGTACTTGTGGAAAAGGTCAGTTGGGCAGTGTATAACAAAATGCACCAAATGTTCCTTAGATTTTCCAAGATCATCAGTATACACAACAACAACTAAAACACTATTGCTGTCATATTGATTTTGACTCATAGCAACTCTATAAAACAACGGACTACCTGTTCGGGTTTCTAAAGCTGTAAATCATTACAGAAGCTGACAGCCACCTGCTTTTCTCATGGAAAAGCTGTTTTCAAACCGCCACCATTTCTGTTAGCAGTTGAGACCTCTTGATGTTGAAGATCACTACCAGTGCCATTCCAAAAACAAATAATCACTGCCAACAAGTCAATTTTGAGTCACAGTGACCATGTAGAACAGAGTAGAACTGCCCCTGTGGGTTTCCAACAGTGTAACACTTTTTAGGATTAGAAAGCCTTGTCTTCATCCCAGGGAATGGTTGATGGTTTCAAACTGCTGACCTTGTGCTTAGCAGTCTAAGGAGTAAGTCCTATGCCACTGCTCCTGTCACCCAGTTAGCATCTCCAAAAAGAGAAGTCAAGTTGGGCAATGTTTAGGATAGCACTAATGAAAGGGACATTTTATGGAAAGCTAACAATGGTCAGATACATTTCTTAAGTAAAATATACTCTGCAAATTCTCTATTTGTGAATTAATTTACCGAAACTACTACTTTTTGATTCTTTAAATAATTATTTTTATAGCAAATATCCCTGTTTTGTGGATATAATACATTCTTTTATTTAAGGGGTACCAAGAGTTACTTTATGCTATTTTATATTATTTTGAGTATACTACACTTTCCTCAATTATTTTGTCTTGCCTATTTACTTCATTTCTATCTTTTATGTTACACTTTCCTCAGATATAAAATAAACCTAATTGGAAGCAATACACTTATGAATAAGGACTACTAATCAATGACATCATTCAAAAGAGATAGGTTTGTTCTGGGTAATTTAGAATCCCTGTTTCCAATATCTTTGTCTTTTAAGTTAGTCAGATTCTACAAAACAGTAATCAATCTCTGCTTGAAAACCATGTCATTCCAATAATGATTTGTCTGACGCTCAATAAAACAACTAACAGGTATAATTTATAGATAAATGAAAGAGTAACAAAATTTCCAAGAAAAGCATTTTAAGTGGGCCTGGCATAAAAACAATGGCCCTACAATAATTAACTTACCTTGTAGTTGAATAGTAAACAGAATTCAATCAACTACAGTTTATGCTTCCAATGCCAAAAGTCATTTATACTATTTAACTTATACCTGTCCCTTTGTAAACCAACAAAACACTATGAACAGAATATGTAACAGGATATGACCTAGGTCTAAAGTTGCTAAAGCAAAATCATATATAACAGAAGTTTTATTAACTGAATATAACTTCATATCTCCTAGGCAATTAAACAATATTGTTCCCATTTCAGAAAAAATTAGAGGTCCAAATGATCTGTTAAAAACATTTAACACATAATGTGGGTAAAGTATTAAAATATTTCTATATTTAAAACCCAGTTGTTCATTCATTTTACAAAATGATAATGGATATGTTTACTGTGTGTACCTATAAATTCTTACTGCACTGCATGGAAAAGAGGCAAATTATTTTAAAAATTGTAATGCACAAAAGTATTAATAATTTTGTGCAAAAATTGACATTTTAGACATGAAATTAGTCAACAATAGTAAATTATATAACATCTGGATAAAGTTGCTAGTCCAGGAAAAAACATAACCGTACCAAACATGCTGACATTCTGGCATTACGACCACAGCACCAGCGCTCCTCCTTCAGATACTGGCACATTGGAAACCCCCACTTTTCTTGAGTACATTCTGCAGATAGGGAAAAAAAATTGATGACTTATATATACTTTTTTTCCTTTCAATTAAAAGTCAACAATCTATTGAACAAGGACATTGTCATTGAGAGAGTGGTGGTGTTTAACGACTATTCACTCCAGTCTGTTAACTAAAAACATTTAAATATTATGAAATAGTATTTGCCCAACAACAGCTGTTTGGTATTTCAGCTCCAGGTCTGATACCAGCCAATTTGCCACACATTTTTCTGTAAGATTTAAAAAAACAACTTAAAATGAAAATATTCTTTATAGTCAGTACAACTATGGGAGATAATAATAAAATACTTGAAATTTATTGTCGACCTAACTGTAAAAAATATAATTCTAAAAATTGATATTTAGCAATTCATTATGGAATAATACTAACTTATTCCCAACAATATTGAAGGATAAAATTTATTTTTAGCCAATATGTTTGCTTTCAGAAATAGAAAAGCTGCAGGGCTCTTATTTTTCTCATGATATTACGAGACTAATGATTTAAACCGTGATTAAATTTGACTCAATGGAATTTATGATTCAAGTAACCACACAAAAAAAGCAGCATTCATTACTTAAGAACATATCTGCCATTCAATTTATCTACCGAGTTGCATGTACAACATGCTGATGCTCAAACCACTGATGTAAAACTCACTACACAGGGTGCTCAAAAAGGGCAGGGTGCTCAAAAAGGACAACAACCCGAATTTCTGATTTTAATTCAAGCCTGGAATCTAAGAGCTTAAATTTTAATAAAGTTATAATTAAAACAAAGCTGGATTAGATTTTTCACAGGATCAAAAAGAAAAATAGATCTAACATTCAGAAACAGGAACACTCATTAAAAGAAAGCTGTTGAAGTAGATGCTACTAAATATACTTCACTGCGATGAAGGATCAGGTGGCTTTTGATAACAATAAAGTTTATATTTCACGAAATAAAGTCTATGGAAAAGGCTTCTTTCAAGTATTAAGTTAATCTTTACCAAAGACAATTGAACTATTTGGGGGGAAGATTAAAAAGTCCACAGATAATAAGAAGGAAGCTATGTACTCTCCCCTGGGAATATTAAAATTAACAGTGTTCGTATTTATCCTGTACTTACTATGTGCAAGGTACAAGTGCTACTGAGTAGCTTTAGTCACCACAGAAACCCTATGAAATTGATGTACTATTATTATAAAGTACCAGAAACTGCTAAAAGAACAAACACATCTGTCTTGGAAGAAGCAAGGCCCAGTGCCCCCTAGAAGCAGAGATGGGGAGACTGTCTCACTCACTTTGGACATGTTCTCAGGAGAGACTAATCTCTGGAGCAGGACTTGGTAAAACAGAGAGACCAAGGAAAAGAGGAAGGCCCACCACAGATGGACTGACACAGTGGCTGCAGCAATGGGATCAAGCACAGCAACAATTGTTAGGATGATGCAGGACTGGACACCTGTTGTGCATAGGGGTCACTGTAGTCGCAACCAAATGGATGGCACCCCTGACCAACAACATTATACTCAAGCTTTGAGCAGAGAAACGGAAGGATTCTATTATTCTTGTGTGCTATTTTGTCAGTCCCAACTCAGTGACCCAATACAACTGAGTAGAACTGCCCCTGGTGGTTCCCTTAGCTGTAATCTTTACAGGAGGACTCCCAGTGACATAGTGGTTAGGAGAGGGTGGGGTGCTAACTGCAACATCATCACTTCAACACTGACTGCCGCTCCACAGGAGAAAGATGAAGCTTTCTACTCCTGTAATATTCACAGTTCGAAAACCCACCAGGGCAGTTCTACTCTGTGCTAGAGAGTTGCTGAGTTGGAACCGACTCAATGGCAGTGAGTCTGGCTCTTGGGTCTGTTCGACGGGGGCAGATCACCAGGTCTTTCCTTCTAGGGAGTCTCAGGTAGACTTGAACTGTCAACCGTTTGGTTGGCAGGCAGGTGCTTCATCTCCAGAACTCCTTACTTGATACAGCTGGATTAAGTAAATCGTGTAACGTTGAAAATCCAATATATCGCAGAGCTAGAAGTTAAATCCAGTTAGCTTAATTTCAGATTTCTGGCTTTTTACCATCAGCCATATAAATGCACATAAACCATTTCACTTATAATCTCATAGGACTCATACAGCTCCTACAGCCTATGCAGGTTTCTAGATATACTAATTCTCTTGTTTTCAAGAGACTTGAAACAGCTTGAGTTTGAGTAGTACATTGAGGCCTTTACATGATTACTGCTAAATTAAAGGATTACTACACATATATTTTTTTCTTTTTATAACAAATTTTTTCCTTAAAAGTAAAAAGAGAAATACTGATGCTTTAGAGCTATAGTTGCAAAGTACACATGTGCTGTTCTGTTAATGGCATTCGGTGCCTACAGTTATTCTGAGATTCCTTAAAATTCTGAGATGCCTGACTCTCCAAATGGGCTGGGTTATTTTTAGCTATGTAGTGGGGTTTACCAGGAGCTGTAAAAAGCCGACCATGAGGTGAAGTACCTATGAATCTGGTCACCATTGCAATGGGGACATTTTTTGGCTTGAAGATGAGAACATATGACTGCCTTTTAACTCTACCAACAGTCTGACTTGGGGCCAGCCGAGCTTCATGCTTGAAATGACACTTGTCACTACCACTCCGGTACTTAATCTTAGAGCAAGATCTCCAAGAACTACAAAGCTGCTTGGGTGGGAAACTGAAGGGTCAGCATGTTCTCATACTCCCAATAAATGACTTCCATGGGAGAGACAAACATAACAATAGGGACTGAGTGGCACCCTGGTGAAGGGGTTTGAAGTCACAGGTGAGATGCAGACCACAGTGGGGGTCATTAATAGAGGGGCTGGCACCAAGATCACGGTCTACATAATGTTTGTGTAGTGCTTCAGCAAGAATTCATAATTATCAATAGATATATCCCTGTAATTTATAAAAACAAAAACATTTTTGTAAACCCGGTTTATATCTATCAATAAGCCTGTAAGACTGAAATCCAATGATAATTTATTTTTTGAAGCCTCTGATGCTCTCACATTAGAACTTTCCTTATTATACAATTAAAATACTTAGGTTCATGGTTTTATCTGTATGTATTACAAGCAGGGCTATAGTTTTTCTTGGAACTGGAGTATTATAGTCAATGATTTTTTCAAATTTTCTGGTGTTTGAGCTACAATAGTGTAATTGTGAATCTACATCAGTAACTTTTTAAATAATGAAATAGTAATTAAAGATAAAAGTTAAAAAGGCTCCCTTGCAGTTACAGATATTATACCTAGTGTAATTCAGTGTGGAAAGATTTTATAAAACTAGTGTGTTATAATCTAAGAAATATTTAATTTAGGTGATTTGTAACTATACTGATCCTTGTTTATGATGTTCACATTCCAATTACCAGCAGAAATCACTGCACCTGACTGCACAATGTCAGACTACAGTAGTTTGTAAAAATCTTCAGCTTCTCCATTTTTGGCATTCATGTTTGGTGTGTAAATTCAAACAACAGTCATATATTAGCTGGCCTTCCCTGTAGGCCTATGGATACAACTGGTCACTGATTATGTTGTTTGCAAATAATATTCCAGGATTATAATTTAAATACAGATAGTCCCTGATTTGTGATGTATTCAAGTTATAATAAATTACACTTGAAACTATAGTTTTTAAAAATCTTATGGCTTATACTATGCATTCACTGGTGGACATAATTTGTCTATGTCATCATTCTCAGATGATACTAATGCCTAATTTTTCTTCCAACCCCCAAATAAAAGTATATATTGGATTTATAAAGATACTGGTAAAAGACAATACATAAAAAATAAAATAAAATTGACATATTCAGTTAGCATCAGAATTGGCTTTTGACAGACATAGGAAAAGCACCCTATCATAAGAGGGGCACCTCTACCCACTGTCATTTCTATCTTTAACTCAGGTTTCTCTGTGGAAATCCATACACATCTATCCAACTTCTGTACCTGAATTTCAAAAAGCATGTCAGACAACTTTAGGATAGACATTCACATATTCTTTTTAATAATAAATGCATGACTCCTCTTAAATTTACTACTTTCAATGGAGTATGATATTGCTCATATGATTGTTAGATCCAAAATAACTGTTTACCAGCTTATTTCAGCTCACTAGCACCTAATATTATCACTATTTAAGTTATATTTCATTTCTGCTAATTCTCAACTTCCATTGTTTCATATATTAAACATTCCATATTGTGATTTTTTTACTGGATCTTTGCAGTGTTACTTCTCATTTTGGTCAATGTCACATCAGCAACTGAATCTATTGAAGGTTTTACTCGAACTGTATCATTAAGGCTAAATTCTACTTTGAGAAGGGAGCCCTTCCTGATAATATTCTGAGTACTTTCCAACTGGAGGGTTCCTCATCAAGGGTTATATAGAACACTATTCTTTTGTTATATATAGGGTTTTCATTGGCTAATTTTCAGAAGTAGATTGCCAAGCCTTTCTTCCTCGTCTAGAAGCTCAGCTGAAACCTGTTCACCATGGCTGAGTAAATGGTATGGAGGCCACCTCTGACCTCCTTTGGCTAGACATGGGAGGAGTGTCCATTTCTATACCAGTCTGAAGTTATTGCTACAGGCAGAGGTCAGACATGCCTCTATTCTCCACCTTTCTTTTCCCTACTCTGACACCAACTATCCCTCCCAGGCAGCTCTACTTTTATGGGGGGGTTCAATAACTTGTTGCAATAGCCACACAAGACTCACAGATAATAGTCAAAATGATGGACGTTTATTAGAAACATTTTGAGGCTATTACAAGTGAGGATCAGAAAACATTAAGGATACAGTCTTTGGTCCACAACAATATCTCTTCTCAGTCAAATCTTTCTGGTACTCAGCACTCAGCCATGTGATCCTTTGGACTCTGCTTCCATGGGCCAGGATGTTTGATGGCCACTCCCCTGTCTCATGGTCTCAGCAACATGACCTCTCTGTTTTGTCTCA